TACAAAGTAAAATACTAAACTTAATTAATTTTAAATATTATAATTCAATTTGCAAAACAAAATACTTTAAATATAAGGAAAAGTGTCCCTATTCTCAAAATGAATCGAGTTCTCAACTTTAAATTATATATTTTTATTTAATTAAAATTTAATTTAAAATCTAAAAATTTATTTTATTAAATTTTGATATTTAAATTTAATATAATTAATTTTTAAAATTAAATATATATTTAATAAAATAAATTTTTATATTTTTAATTAAAATTTTAATTTTTAAATATAAATTAAAACTCTATTTTTTTAAAGTAAAAAAGCACTACCCTCTTAAATATAATTAATTTTAAAATGTTATTTACCATTTCACTCTTGTTTACGTACACAAGGGTAAATGGGCATTTTCACTATCACATCAGTATTTAAACACTATTAAGTATTAACGCCATATCGTTAATTCTTTTTGCCGTTAGTGCCAAGTCAGCCTTTCCGTTAACTCTAGTTGACAGGAGGGACTATCATTACCTTAAGTTTTAAAGTTCAGAGAATTATCACGATTCTTTTCATAGTTGAGGGATGACAATGATTCTGTTTTCTTTGTATGGTTGGAGAATTTTTCTGGCTTTAAACCAATCAAACAAAATCCCAAGAACAGGAGTTTTATTCAAAATCTGAGTAACTTCACAACATCAATAAGCATTTTTAATAATAAACTTATAATTAGTTTGCTGCATTTCTCAAGTATCACCGCACAATTATGCCATTCCTCCACTTGTTGCTGTCCTAATGATCTGGAACAAAGCTGTTATGCATAACAAATAAGACCATAATTAGTGTAAATCATCAACCACCAAAGAAATGCAAATATTATTACTACAAATTTGAAAAGATATCTAGATGGTAGATGGACAGATTCCATTCTAAATTCAATTCAAGCAAACAAGTTTGCTTTATAATATTGAGTTTTTTTAAAGACACTGGTTAAGGGTACTTTAACTCGTAAATATGAATAGAATATAAAAACTTATATTAATTTAGTGTTAGTGTTATCCATATAAATTTAATTAGATAATAAATAAATTAAAGATTAATTTTTATTATTCAAATACAAATTTACAACAAAAAGTGTTATTAATTACCCTCTTAACTTTTGACTTAAGGGCATCAGTTTGATAAACCCTATAATATTTGAGATACTCAAACTGTATGACAAGAAGTTTAGAATTGCTAACCTAATGGTTTGACTGCTTCTGGGTGTAACAGTTCTTATTATGCTAATGAATTGTGTTTAAATTGCTATGGAAAACTGAAAATATAAATGGGTGGTGAAACCTAAAAGGGTTAGTTAAAAAAGGTCTTACATGATCCAATGACAACGAAAACGAAGAACCCGAGCAGAACTGGCCCAACAGGGTAGTCCTTTCCCTTCTTAGTGGTTGTTTCAGGCACAACTCCTCTCTTCGTGATGTTCTTCTCGAACCTCTCCACCTTCCTGTCAGCAAAGCGCCTTGATGTCGTCTACACAACAACAAATGATACACATTTAATTCAAAATTACAAGAAAACAAATTCACAACAAT